CAATGTTAACAGCAATAAAACATGAATGCAAGTGCTTAATGTGAAGCTATAAGCCATTCTATGCACTGGTTGTTGCACATTGAAATGTTACATTATTTCACTTCATATTTTACTCAAGTGCATGTTTTAATGTATACTATGCACAAATGCTTAAATGTCTTTATTTACACTTTACTAGATGTAGCTAATATGCAGTAGCTCACTGCATGTGTTGAATTTAACACATTGATTTAATGCTTTTAAATGTAAAGGTAAGGAAAGCACATAACGAAAGCTTTAATTTGTTGTAAAAGATTATTCTCTAAATGTACACTTCTTGTGGACGTGTTGGTTTTTCTGTATGTTGATCAGTTATAGCTGAGTTAAATTTTTTGACACTAATTTTGTATGTTCTTCAAGCAATAAATAAAAGACGTTTTTTTGACACTTCCTCACTGGTGTATTCTCATTGGTCTGATCTTCCCACGCGCTCAAATATAAAGGCACTAAACTGAATGACATTTACTGCATCGCTGAGCATCTGCATCTGTTGTTAATCATGACACCACCTACCTCAACAAGAAGCACTCTTGTTTTACTGTTTTGTCTGGTGAGTGTGGCTTTTATTTCTATTTTCGATTAGTCGTTTTTAATTAATATTAATTTATCACGGATGTGACTTTTATTATTATCGGTTTAGAATTAATTACAACTCCGTTCGTGTCTCAATAATACCAAGTGAGCTTCAAAACAAAGGTTCCAAATCGGCACCAAAAAAAACAACAACTCCAAAAACTGTTTAAAGGTTAAATAGTTCTTGCTAAGGAGAGGGGGAACGTGTTCCAAAGAAAGGCAGCTCTCACTAGGTTTTGAGAAAATTTAGTGCCATTTTTGTAGTGCTTAATGATATTAAATAATTAGGTTTCCATGACTATCAGTTCCATTTCTGACATAATCAATATATAAATACTATTTAATAACAGTCAATATAATGTAAGCGTTTCAAGGCACTGAATGGATAAAGCTCCTTCTGGCTTTCAGCACACTGACCCTTTGAGAGGCTTTAGCGTAGTCGGATCACTTCAGAATTTAGTCACCAAAGAATTTCCAGTTTAGTAAGAGAACAGCAAAGCATGTCAATTACTAGTAAAAGTCTGCATTAATTTCTTCCTGCAGTTGTGGTAGTTTAACCACAACATGACCAAATTAAGCTAACCAATCTATAAAAAGATCTCTCCAAACCGATCTGTCGAGGTGAGCCCTGCCAGTATGGGCACTCAGATTGATACGCAGGGATCCCCCATTCAGAATTAACCCACCCACTTACAACCTTGTCACTTAGTAACCTGGCTTATTTTTCACAACTTGTTTCCCTGTACATTTTGTGTGGTTTTCTGTGTAGTGACCAGGTCATAGAAGCAAACTTGATAAGAATTTTTCTGTGGGTGTTTTTCGCTTTGAGAAATTTCCATTTTGTGACCTGTCCCTTATCTGTTTGTTCTCAGGCACAAAAACTGATTACGTGCATACGTGAATTTGTCAATCCTCCTGTTGTGCAACTAAGCAATGCAATGAAAACATCCAGATTGTCCTTCAGCTGCATTTTTTCCTTGACATTTGCTGACACCAACAGAATGGTAGCTGTACTCTGGGTTACCCAGAACGCCTGTTTGTGATTACGTCAATCTTTAAATCACTTGCTTTGATCTGATGGTAGATTTCAGCTTTAAAACACTCTAGTTAAAAGCATCTGTAATGAGCTGCAATGAAGGTTGACTAACCTCCAAAACAAACATTTCTTAATAATAGATCTTGCCATTAAATGTCACTTTAAATGCACACCCTTTAAGTTAATGCACTTATCTCCATATCTTCAATGTGTCACAAGCTCATGTTCATTCTGGGTCAGAAGAACTATGATGTTGCCTACTTGTTTTTGAACTGATTATGCAATCTGAAAACTGATCAAAACATAGCGCCGAAAGAAGCTTGAATAAAGAAGAGAATAAAATGAGCCAGAGGTCTCCGATTCAGACCAGTTATGCATTTACAACAACTGTCTTTCCAAAGAAAGTGCTTATTTTTATTTAGGTTTTTACTTCTCTTAGATTCGAAAAGGCATTCTGACAAAAATTTTCACTGTTGTTTTCCTTTCACAGTTTTTTACATTTCTACACGTCAACGTTATTGGTAAGTTTATGCCCCTTCCATTTCTTTCATGTCACTTACCTTATTTCTGAAATACAAGCCACGGTCCGCCTACTTCAGTAGTATTCTGTGCAATAACCATTATGATGTCTATTAGCAACTAGCGAAATTCTCTGAATGATGCCAATGGAATTTAAACTGCTAGATCTTATGTTTATTTATGTATTTATTCATTTTTTTTATCAAACTTGGACCAATTTTAAGTCTAAAAATTGCTTCTATACTCTTAAAAATAAAGGGTCCAAAAGGGAAACCTTCTAGTGAACAGTTCTTAAAAGAACCATTTTGTTTTTTTTCTTAGTGTGAAGAACATTTTAATAATCTAAAGAATCTTTTTCCAATTTAAAGAACCCGAAAAGGTTCCACGGATGTTAAAAGTTACTCATGGAACCATCAATGCCAGTAAAGATCTTTAAGACTATATATGAACAATCTTTTCACAATGAACACATTATAATAGCTGAACCTCATGTTTTAACCCAACTTGATGTACTTGATGTAGCTATATGCAAACCATGTAGTTGAGCTTTCTGAGGGTGTTTTACCAGAAATTATTACCTCACCACTTCATAACCATTAACTTATGTGTAATTTCTAAAGAAAATTACTCTAAAATCTACACATTAAGCATGACCCAGTGTGCCTTTTAGTAATAACTGTGGATAGTTCCTCAACTGTCCATTTAGTTCTATGCAATTTTGCATTGCATCATTCTCATACTACAGTTACTGGTGCATCTGGATGCAAGCATCACTAGACAAATGATACCTTAAAGTACCTTGGAGGTGAACTCTTGTATCTACCTAGCAACCATTCCAAAAACTTTAGCAAACCATCTGGAACAGTTGTGGTGAGTTGTGCAAAACTCATACTTGAACCTGAAAAACCATGCTGCCGGTCCATGTGTAGATTTAAAGTGACAGATGAGTTGGTTAAAAATAGTCAGTCTGTCCCTTTTAGAACCTAACTGGCATTTACAAACAGCACTTCATGTACTCCTGTCCCTTACTGACCAAATTATTGCACCCTTTGTTAGATTAAAGCTTTGGTTTGTGCAGATTGACTATAGGGAGTTTTTACTCGGCTTTTATCTAAACGATTTTCCCTCAAGTTTCAAAATGTCTGTAATTTGTGTACGAGTGTGTACTTAGAAATCAGACGCCAGTCACTTCAAAACTCTTGTAATCATGCTGTATGTACTTTTACTCTTGCTAAGCTAGAGTTGTGAGTATCACATGAAGATATGAAATTACTTTTGATGTCTGTTGTTTGCATTCTGTTTCACACGTAGGTTATAACGGTCAGAAGTGTAACAGTAATTTTTACGAGAAGCCCAGTCAGAGAATCCTAAGATGTGAACGCTGCAATCAAGAGTGTTCTGGTTAGTAGTAGCACAACATTTCCCAGCATTTGAATGCTAGTGAGCTTCGAAAATGACACAGGATTGTTTTGAATTCTGAATTAATGCTGTCCATATTATTACTTACTTAAGAAACATTCCTGGTCTTACTGTGCGTGATGCATCAGTGCACATTAATACAGAGATAGATAGAAAGTTTGTCTTCATTATTTTTCAGCAAATCGCCTCTGAAACAAGGTTATTTTTTCAGCTGATGTCACTAAGGATTTTTTTGGGAGGGATATGTGGGAATGCCCACATTTCATCATTCATTTTATTTGCACTGGATAAAATCAACCCAGTTTCTCATCATTGAATATCCCTTTTCACTCATGAAAAGTCATGTAAAACATGCAAAAACGTCTCGCACTGCATCCTCTAATGGACACTATGGGGAATGAAATACCCACTATGCCATGCCTCGGTGCATTGCCTGTCCACTTGGTGAGCGAGCACCAAAAATAGTGGCAAATATACACCAATTTAAAAAGAGGGGCACGCCAATAACGCCCGGACAGCTAATATTTAAGGAGGGACGTCCAATTCAGCCAAGTTGGCAACACAACTGTCCTCAAACAGCTATGTTCCTAAAGGCTCCATAGTGCTTTCACACACGCTGAACAAACAAATGGCTCCTCAAGACAAAGAAAGTTGATGACGTGCATTGCAGGCACCCTCTTATGCTTCTGGGCGTGCCGCTAATGACGTCACAGGCTGCATGGTCCAATGGATTTGGAGTGTTTTCACACGTGCTTCAGACACCGGTCATGCTGATGGCATTCCCCATAGTGTCCACTAGGACGCAGTGCGAGTTCCCTTGAAGGCGAACTAATGAATCTTGCACAACAAGACTGGGAATGTGTATTAAAAAAGTAAACAGTCTATTTCATGTTGACTTCTTAGTGGTCGTTCACACAGGATATGATTTTTCGTTTCACTGTGCTCCTTTTCCATTGTTTTTCCATGCAAAACTGCACTAGATGGACATGACCGTTGCATTTATGTCTCGCGGCATTAAAAAAAAAAGAAGCTGGATAAATTAAATGTTCAACTTTTAAAAAGTGCACCTCCTAGACCTTGCATTTAAATAGGTAAAACATTTTTCCATTCCATTGCGATACTTCTCCATTGTTTTTCTATGTAAACACACTAGAATGGACACGTTTGACCATTGCTTTTGTGTCTTTTCCAAGTATTTTTTTTTTTCCATTCCATTGCTCGTGTCTCACGTTTCCAACACAAAACACGTTCTCTCTGAATGTCCCCTAACTAAAGACATGCTTTAGGGGCCATTCACACAGAACCAGTTTTTCTTTTGTCAAGAGACATGATTCTAAAAAGTGAACTTTTAATTTTGAATTAGAGTGCTGCATGTTTAGAGCACTGTGTTTTGCGAGAGATGCTGCAAAAGACTTAAGACGTGAACGCAACGGTCAAACACATCCATCTACAAAGCATGCTTACAATAGAAAACCCATGGAAGCAGAATAAAAAAAATAAAGGTAATTGCAACTTTTTCTCTCACAATTTTAAGTTTATATCTCACAATTAGGACTTTTTTTTTTTTACTTGGAAAAAGATGTGAGATATAAACTCATAATTGTGAGATAAAAAGCCGCAATTACCTTTTTAAAAAAATGTATTCCGTGGCAGAAACAGACTTTCATAAAAACCTGTGCTATGCAAATGCAATGCAAAAATGCAATTTGTTTTCCCATGTAGCATGTTTATATAGAAAATCTGTGCAGTGGAATGAAAAAATGTGTTCTGTGTGAAGAACCCCTAATCTGGATTAAGTGTAGTGTGAAAAGTACAATTCAAATGTGAAGTTTTTAATATTAATTTAATAAACCGTAGATAAGATGTTAGGATGTTTTTGTAGAATTTTTGTTAATTGACGGCTCTCTATGTCTTTGTGTATTTGGGTGGAAACAGAGGATAAAAATGAGGAGGAAGTTACTCCATGCACTCAGAACAGCAATAGAGTTTGCTTCTGTAAACCAGGTTTTTATTGTACTGGAAGAAACGATTATGAAACATACTGCCATAAACCATGTGTTCCCTGTGGAAAAGGCACATTCTCCAGCAAACCATCTCTGGAAGACTGCAATCCTCATACAGAGTGAGTAAGATTCATACATATGCTACTGTTTTTAAGTTTGCAATAATACCTTAAAAACATATGGAAGCCCATTTTTGCCACGGAATGAAAAGATAAAAAAGGTATTTGAGACTTTTATCTCACAAATCTTTTTTTTAAGAAAAAAAAGTCAGAATTGCGAGATACAAACTCTGAACTGTAAGACTTAAACTTGGAATTGTGAGATGTAAAGTCAGAATTCAGAGAAAAAGATGAATTGCGCGAGATAAACAGTTCTGAGATTACGTTTCACAATTCCAAGTTTGTATCTTGCAGCTCTGTTTTTTGTTTCTGTCAAGGAATAAAAAATAAGGTTGCAACTTTTTATCTCACAATTCTGACTCACAATTGTGTTCATATCTCACAGTTCAGACTTTCTTCTTAGAATTGTAAGTTTATCTCAATTCTGAGTTTATATCTCACAACTCAGACTTTCTTAGAATTGTGAGTTTACATCTCACAATTCAGACATTTTTTGGCCAATTTTGCATTTATATCTTGCAATTCTGAGTTTATATCTGGCAGTTCTGATGTAACAATAACCCACTAAGGACAACTAGCCCAAAAAGGAGCACAAATAAACAGAACTAAACAATGACATGAACGTGAGCAGACTTAAACTTGACAAAACTCACCACACAGTAGTTACAAGGAACAAACCTGATGGACATGGGGAAACACATGGCCATACCCAATGACGAAGTGGAACTAATAAATGTGAACCAATGAAAAGACAACAGTGATAAAAAAGTAACAATACAATAAACTCATGAGAAGACACATTAACTAAAGAACAAGCATCACATCAGGAGGATATGGAAGGCAGATGGGTCAAAAGTCTATAAACGGAATTCATGAAATTCGAATGTGTCAACACGCACTGTTTGTCCACATTAACACAAGAGATTTTGAACATGTTTTTTTATGCGTAGACGCACATCATGGTCATGTTAAGTGCCCCTATTATGCCATTTTTAAGGTTCCTAATATTGTTTTGGGAGTCTCCTACAATAGGTTTACATGAAGAAGCAGAAGAGGACAGCAGTTTGTAAGTGTTTTGTTTTCTATTCTCATTAGATTTTAGCGCGAATGTCGTTGCTAGGAACGTGTTTTGATTACTGTGTTTACCGTGGTAAACGCGTGCTCTAGTCACGTTTGTTCTCGTGCATATCACGTGACTTTCCAGTTTCGGTTTGCTAAGTAGTAAGGCGTGGCCAAAGCCAGTAAAAGTACTTATTTAAGCAGGCTCGGGTAACCCCACTGCTTAAGAAACCCCTCTCTAAATCCAGCACTTTTAGAAAACTACAGACCGGTACCCCTTCTTCCGTTCATTGCAAAGACACTTGAGCGAGTTGTGTTCAACCAACTCTCTATGTTCCTTGCACAGAACAACATCCTGAACAACAACCAATCTGGCTTCAAAAGCGGCCACTCAACTGAAACTGCCCTGCTCTCGGTTACTGAAGCCCTTGAGACTGGCAAGAGCAGCTTCCAAGTCCTCAGTACTCATCTTGCTGGATCTGTCTGCTGCTTTTGACACTGTTAACCACCAGATCCTCCTGTCCACCCTCATAAAGATGGGCATCTCAGGAACCGCACTTCAATGGTTCAAGTCTTACCTCTCAGGTAGGTCTTTCAGGGTGTCTTGGAGGGGTGAGGTTTCTAAGTCACAACTTCTTGCTACTGGGGTTCCTCAAGGCTCAGTGCTTGGTCCTCTTCTCTTCTCCATCTACATGTCATCATAAGGATCTGTCATTCAGAAGCATGGCTTTCCTTATCACTGCTATGCTGATGACACTCAACTCTACTTCTCATTCCAATCAGATGATCCGACAGTAGCTGGTCGCATTGCAGCCTGTCTGAGAGACATTTCTAGCTGGATGAAGGACCATCACCGTCAACTCAACCTTGTTGTAGAACTGCTCATGATCTCAGCCAAGCCAGCACTTCATCACAACTTCTCTATACAGCTGGGTTCGTCAACTATAACTCCTTCCAGGACAGCCAGGAACCTTGGAGTTGTGATCGATGATCAGTTAAGCTTCACAGACCATATTTCTACAACCCTCCCTATCTCAATTCGAAAAGCTGAGTCTTTGGCCATTTTCAAAAAACATCTAGACACATCTTTTTTTGCCAGCACCTGACGAACTAATACTAGCACTTACCTATTCTGTTCTATTCTATTCTATTCTATTCTATTCTATTCTATTCTATTCTATTCTATTCTATTCTATTCTATTCTATTCTATAAAAAAACCCTAGCTATGTGTACTGTGCTAGACTAACTGAGACTTGTCACAGCACTTGTATACTGTTGCTCTCTCGTTCGTCTGATTGCTTCTATTGTTCTCCTCATTTGTAAGTCGCTTTGGATAAAAGTGTCTGCTAAATGATTAAATGTAAATGTATATGCAGGCAATGTCAAAAAACTTTCGTTTTCTCAAAATATGCATTTAATATCACCTCATTTTCCAACGACTCTCAAACGAGTTGTTCAAAGCAGTTCTAAGATTCAGTCTCTCTAAACCCCTCCTTTCCATGAGCCTACTCTTCTCTGATTGGTCAGATGGCCCAGTCTGTTGTGATTGGTCTACCGCGCACAGAGCGTGTCGGAAACAATACACCCATTGCCATAGTTCCGTATTTTGAACGCTCAATAAAAAATATAAACCTCTATTATCATTTTATCATACTTACAGGTTGTGATTCGGTGGAGCCAGCTGATCCTGGGTACTGAGCTCATCTTTGAAGAGCAAGCATTTTGTGAATCCTGCTTTGAACCCCCCGAGATTAGAGAAGCAGTTGTCAGTAAAATGATGGGAACACAAAAAAAGATTGGGCTTGTACTGCTGTGGTACAGTGGAAAAAATGAGTTTTAACCACTGATTTTTTGCAGCCTCATCTTCCGGAAGTGAAAATAATTGTTCACGGCACGGCCGGCCAATATAGAACATACAGTAGGCGAGCATTATGCAAATGTGTTATCTTGTGACGTGCAGCTGTTACGGAAGTGGGATTCGAATTACTGACGACTCGTTTAGGCTGTTCAGAGTCGATTCTTTCTTTTTCTTTTTACATTCACATACAGCTACATTACACTGCATGAAAGGCTATATTCGAAATGGCATAATAGGGGCACTTTAAGTCATCAGTTTTTACCATGTTTCTTTAGTACGTGTAAAGATGCCCAGTTTTATCGTGTTAAGATAAATTTCAACGTGTCTCTCAATGTGAGCACATTCTGGCCATGTTCGAACATGTAATACTTTTTAAAGCAAATTTTCCTAGAGATTCACCCACATATTAATCCTTTCTTTAGTTTATTGTGGCATTGCTTTACTGATATCTACTGTGATAGGATAAATTAATTAATGTAACAATTTAAATGAGACTTTTCTAACTGAGAAAGATCATTGAACGGTGCTTTGCATGTTTTTTGCCAAGAAAACCAACATGTTCACCTTCTCTGGTTTAAGCAGTGGTCTTTTAGTTTACTTTTAAATTTCGCTTGAAAGCCAAATCCTCTGTCCACAATCGTTTCCTCAGTATTTGGGTCATTTTTGGCACACTCACACTCGTGCACGTGCAGACACGGCGAGTATAAACTAGGTTATACACCCGAAGCACTCACACTGAAAGCGTCTCTCTCACTCTCTTCACATGATCAGTGAAACCTGACTCCTGCTGCACTGTGCTGCGGCTCTGCAGTGCGCGCTGTATGGAGTAGAGCAGAAACGTCTCAGGTTACTTATGTAACCATGGTTCCCTGAGTAGGGAACAAGACACTGCGTCCTCTAGGCTCTGCCCGGAGAAGCCTCTAGACCGGACCATCAGTAAGATGGTCACTATGAAGCCATAGAACCAACCAAACCTAATAGGTCCAGTATAGAAGACTATAATGCAGGAAATTTTCCACCTAACCTCGGTCTGGTGGAGAGATGGTGGTTACAGGGGAATTTAGGATTTAGGTGAAGATAAGGGCAGATGTAAGACCCCCGAAGGAAATGAGTAGATACCGAGGTATCACTCGGATCCGGACAAAAGCACTGACGCCCTGTCTGGATCACATTTATACTATAGTCACACCGGTAGTGACGTCATGGCTGTCGCCGGCCAACGAGTTGGTGTTTTTTTCAATGTATGCTTCAGACACGGTTCACGACGAGGCGTTCCCCATAGCGACCCCTAGAGGACGCAGTTCGAAGTTCCCATGAAAGGGAACTATCAGTTTACAATTGTAGAGTCCATTGTCCAACTGAACTAAATGGTTTTTATTTACAAAAAAAGCATATTTAATACCAGTGTATCATTACAACTTCCTTCATGAATAAACATGACAACTGATGTTTGTCTATGTATATACCAACGTATCATCATGTCACATGTGCAAATATAGTCTCAAATACAGCAGTTGCATTGGCTGCTGTAAATGTTTCCATGCAAACATTGACAAACAGTGCGTGTTGACAGTCAAATTTCACGTGTTCCATTCAAAGACTTTTGGCCCTGGCCACCTTCCATAAGACAAAAAGGAATTACACTACAAGGAACCAGGAAACATGACTAAGCGGGAAACATGACTAAATTACAAATTAAGAGACATGAATGTAAACCAAACCAAAATAGATATGGCATCTGCTTTTTTTTCTCAGAACTGTTAGAAAAGAGGCACAATTCTGAGATATAAACTCTGAATTGTGAGATAAAAAGTTGCAATTACCTTTTTTTATTTTTTATCCTGTGATGAAACAAGCTTCCATAAAACTGCATCCAGAAATAATTTCAATAATTTCACAATTTCACAAATAATTTTCAACTTCAGACTTGCATTCAATCCATATAGGGGCCAGAATATCATACAGACTTGGTTGGCTCTTTTGACTTTCAGTAAGATAGCATTGTGGAAACTAATATTTTATGAGGCTTAAATACATTTTATAAGCATGTTTTGAGTAGCTATGCCATTTACACAATTGGCACTAAGCAGCTAGTCCTCATTTAACAATTCAGCAGTTTTAAACAGGGGATGAACATGGCAGAAATTCATTTGAAATTTGAAGCAGCAAGTTTCACACTTTGTTTATTCTCACTTATCTTTTTCGGTCTGTTACTCACTTTCTTTATCTCTGACACATTTTTATCTTTGAGGTTTCTACTAGTCATCTTTTTTTTTCTTTGCCATCTGTGTATGGGAATCAACACACAGCCACTGTGAAGTGTACAAGCGGCTATAAATAGTTAAATATATGGCAAGAAGATAAGCCCAATCACAATTTAGTAAGAAAATGTATGTCAGAAAGAAGAGCAGTCATATTTAAGTATGCAAATTACAGTGCTATCAGCTCTGACGGTTATTTTGAGTTCTGAACATTCTATATGGGATAGTTCAAGTTAAGGTAGAATTATTTGCAGATTATTTAGTAGAGGATTCAGAACAAACACTAACCAGAGTATTGAGGAATATCAAACCCACAAATTACAAACACACAATATTAAGACCAACCTGCTCTTGTCTCTATGCATTCTCTCTGTGTACTTTTCCACAGTTGTGCTCGGTTGGGAATGATAATGCTCAAAGAGGGCACAGCGACACAGGACAGAGAGTGTATGAATGTCACAACAGTGATGCCAGCCTCGTTCACTACCACCACTTTTAATAGCACTTCCATCCCCATGACAGGTACTGACAAAAGCCACTGACAACTGTAAAAGACAATGTATTCACTGTTGGGAGGTGTTGTCTATATATATACCTTTTTGGAAATCAATGTATAAAAAATATTTGAAACTTAAAGTGAGGAAAATAGTAACCAGATTTATATAACTAAACTAAAATAAAAATTAATAAAAACTATATAGATATTAAAAAAAAAAAAAAACTACTAAAAATGACAAAACATACAACAAAATTAGTAAATCAAAAATAAAAGGGAAAATATAAAAATAAAAACTGATTCAAATGATTAATGACTATAATATTATCCTAGTATAAACTATAATATCTAAATGATGCTAAAATAACACTGATAAAGGACAACATTTTGCAAAAAGATAATTAAGCCTATTGTAGAAATATTAGGATTTTTGTAGCATTGTCATTACCGTAATGCATATATATATATATATATATGTGTGTGTGTGTGTGTGTGTGTGTGTGTGTGTGTGTGTGTGTAAATAAATAAAAATTTAAAACCCAAAATTATAGTATTTATAATATGGTAGTGTATTTGTGTGGTTTATAAATTATGCTGATTTAAATAATAAATAATATAATAAACAAATAAAAAATATTCTGTTACATTAACTGTTAGAAAACTGAGGCAGCACATTGAGTAAAAATGACATTGTTTTTTTTGTCGTCACCAGGGGTCACTGCACAACTCGTAGACACGGCAGAAGAAATCCAGTCCCATTGGTTGCTGCTATTAATCTTAATGTTGATAATCTTGTTCATGGCTGGATTCTGTATTCTGATGAAAGACGTGGCAAAGAAAACCCTTTTTAAATGGTTTGGTATGATATAAAGACTAAATGCAGTGGATCTTTTGAATACTTCAGAATTGAATAGGGCTAGAAATGAACACAAATAACACAACTCTGCAATGATGCTGTATTTGTCAGCAGTAATTGTTTTTGTATTTTTCAAAAACGAAATCTAAACCCAAGAAGCTCCTTTTGGAACCACAGCATTGTATTGTCATGTCTAAAGTGCCGTGTAGTGGCTATAAGTGGCCTGGAATCCACCCAGATCACTTCTTACAGTAAAGCGTATTGCATTGTCTCTCACGTGTTTTAATTCCCATAAGGTCAGATTCAACATAAACATTCACGGTGTTTCAGAATGACACGCATTTAATACATCCATAACAGCCTGAGAAACCACAGAACGCCTAAGCACGTAACAAACAGTTCACACAATCACTGTTGCACCTACTTGAGCTGCTCACACCGTCTGACATATGCAGCATATTGACTTATTTCTTGTTTTCATTTTAGGTTTTATAAACAGACAACATGTAAGTACCTTTGTGTGATTGCATGTCAAAGTAAATGAAACTAACTTGTTTTTGTTCATATAGCTGAATGTTTAAAGGAATAGTTCACACAAAAATGAAAATTTGCTGGAAATGTACTCACCCTCAGGCCATCAAAGAAGTAGGTGAGTTTGTTTCTTCATCAGTACAGATTTGGAGAAATTAACATTCCATCACTTGCTCAGCAATGGATCCTCTGCAGTGAATGAGTGCCGTCAGAATGAGAGTCCAAACAGCTGATAAAAACATCAGAATAATCCACAAGTAATCCACACCACTCCAGTCCATCAGTTAACATCTTGTGAAGCCAAAAGCTGTGTGTTTGAAAGGAACAAATCCATCATTAAGGCATTTTAACTCCTTAAGACACTTCTGGCCAAAACACCAGTCCATAAGTCCTTAATCAATAATAATGAGTGAAAATGTTAAAAGATCCATTCAGTGAAAAAGTCCATCCCCTGTGTCTCTCACATCAAAATCCACCAATATTTGAACTGTTTTGGACTGTTTTTGCTTGTAAACTGTGCTTGATCTGTGCAGATTTCTCTCCTGATTCAGACTTTTTCACTGAAGAAAGCGTTATTATGGATAGAGGACTCGTATTTTATCCGGAAGCAATGGTTTGAAGTCGAAAGCTTCTTGATGGATTTGTTCCTTTCAAACACACAGCTTTTGGCTTTACAAGACATTAATTGATGGACTGGAGTGGTGTGGATTACTGTGATGTTTTTATCAGCTGTCGGCACACATTCACTGCAGAGGATCCATTGGCGAGTAAGTGATGGAATGTTAATTTCTCCAAATCTGTTCCGATGAAGAAACAAACTCGTTTACATCTTGGATGGCCTGAGGGAGAGTAATTCTTCAGCAAATTTCTATTTTTTTAGGTGAACTATTCCTTTAAAATAATCAGGTCCCCTTTCATTTTGTTTTATGGTCCCTGTAGGAAGATTATCAACCCTGGAGTCAAACTGCAGCTGACAATAAAATTTTGTCCAATTCCCAATCCCACACCTTGAAGACCAAAATACCAGTCGGCAGTGGTGGCAGAGAGGTCAAAGGTCAGAGTACGGGGCCGATGCCCCAATCTGGGACTGTGCAGCAGGTCACAATGGAGCACAATGGGAAGGGTGAGAACGTCAGCAATACTGTTGGTGAGTCCTGTAAATGTCTTTGTTGAATTTGCATTGCATTGCATTTGAATTTGAACTTACTGTAATAATAATCTTCGTCGAAGATTTAAAGGATTAAAAAGTCTATCATGATTAAGCACAAAAATGGGTCTGTACGACTTGTGAACTATATTTCAAGTCTTCTTAAACCATAAAGTTTTTTTTTAGTCATCTTTCCTTCTAATATAGCTCTTGAATTTATATTTTATTTTATTATATATATTTTAGTTTCTCACTCAGATCTGTTGTATGACTTCTGGATTATAGTTCATAAATCATATGGACACTGCAGAAAGTGCTGCTTTTCCTCAGTATTTTGTCTGGTTTTCTAGCACAGCACATTCTTAAATTAAGATACATTTACTTGACATGAGATTTAATGTGAAAAATGTATCAAAAGGAAGTGTGTACATACTTAAAGAGATCATCGGATGCCAATTTTCCACAAGTTGGTATGATTCTGTAGGGTCTTGATGAAATGTCTGCAACGTACTTTGGTTAAAATTCCTCAGTGGTCATGTAAAACAACACTCTTTTTACCTTGTCAAAAACAGCTCTGTTCACAGCGACCCGTTTCAGTGCATGTCTTTTTAAATGATAATGAGCTACTGCTTACCCCGCCCCTCTCTTCCGTTTATTGTGTATTCGGTGGCACATTACTATAGGTGCGTCCCAATTCGCATACTTAACTACGATTTGTAGTATAAATAGTGCGAGTAGTGCGTTCACACTGAAAATTCCCAAAAGAAGAAGTGCACTTTAAATACCCGGATGATGCACTTAAATAACCGAGAAAACAAAGTGTGGAATGTTGGACACTTCGTGCACTCAACTGTCACAACTTTAATTACGTAGCGAAGGGGTTAGGGGCTATCAGACTCCGATTATGAATGACAAAATAACGAATATAATTCATAGTCTACATGGTTGAGTACGTAGTGTTTAAGTGCATAGTGTATAGTACGTAATTTGGGACACAGCTTATCAAAAACAAAACTAATTCACTGCGTCCTCAGTGGCTCTGATGTCGGGAGAAAATGAAGACTTGTATTTTCACTTTTACGTCCAACTACAAAACACCTGCATTGCTTACAAGACATGGCGGTCAGCGTACAACTGACTGACGGCGGAAATATGCTAATACGGGACAGTCCGCCAGCAGTCGTGGGCGGGTCCTGAGCAGTATGACGTCATACTGCTCAGAAGCGGCTTGAAAATTGAGACTCTTTGGTTTTTTGGGGATTAAAAAAAAGGAGTGAATGGATTTTTATCATTCCAGTGTTAATTTTGACAGGCATTTTTGATTTAGTCTTTGTCTTTATCTTACGACGAAAATGCTTAATAGTCTTAGTCACATTTTAGTCATTTGAGTCTTTCATAGTTTTAGTCTAGTTTTAGTCGACGAAAAGTCATTGCATTTTTGTCAACTTTTAGTCATTACTTTTAGTCAAACTGCAGTTACCAACATTTATTTTGGTAGCTATTTTATATGTAGTCTTCAAACAAAAATAGTCATTAATTCTTCTCTCGAACTATCCCTTTAACAGTAGTGAAAAGGGAGCAACTTATAAAAATGAGAGTTGTTCATATATAATATATATATAATTTTTGAAAAAGAAGCAAAATAAGACAATAAGACAAATACGAAAGAGATACAAATTAAACTCGTTTTTCAGATTCAGTAGATTTACTTAACATATTTGTTTAACATATTTTGTTGGTTAACATCAATGACACGGATAGGTACTTAATTAGGAATGCTGTCCCTTTAAGACGGAATGCATGACACACGTTCAGTTTTCACCCACCTGTTTACGTTCACTTAATCCATAACCGACTGTATTTACGTGAGATACTCACACGATAGACATTTGGACTGCTGTGTGTGTATTTGAGCACTGAGAACTGATCGCGTGCTGTATATGAGAACTGAAGAAGTGGAGCGTGCGCGAGAGAGAGCACTGCTATCAGTGCAATTCCGCCTATCGACGATGGCCTTCACTAACTTTAAGTGAATCGACAATGAATTGTGACTCCCAGGAAAAACGGGCCGTCTGGTCACCTTATCCCTACCCCTTCAGGTGCTGAGGCCATTGTTTCAGATTGCTAGTTCGCGTTTTATTAGCCTATCTGTCCACTATTTTGAATGTCCTGTAGTCCTCAAATAACATATAGTCCCGTCTCGTCTAGTTAACGGAGACACGGCATAAATTTCGTCATAATTTCGTCATCAAATATTAGTTTTAGCTCATCAACGTCTCGTCTTAGTCACAAAAAAAATGTTCGTTAACGAATATTTTTCGTCGTCGTCTTCGTTGACGAAATTAACACTGGCTAAGACACATTTATAGGCAAACACCATGTAAAAGGGAATTTTGCATCCAATGTCCCCTTTAAAACAGAAAAAAATATCTGCCATTGGGGTTAGAAAAATAGTGTTTTCACTTTGAATCAAGTTTATCTTAATGGGCCTATTGGAATATATTGTGTCTTGTTTTAAGAAAAACTTCATTTTGATCATTTTGTCACAAAAACAAGACTTAATATCTTAAAATATTTTGCTTCTCAAGTAAATATATCTTGGTTTAATAATTGTTTATATTTGCACTGGAAAACACAGCAAAAATACTGAGTAAGAACATCACTTTTTGCATTGCTTTTTGTCTTTTTTTTGGAGGGTGGCAGAATAAATCATCTACTTTTGTTGTAATGAATAGAGCTTCTTCTTTTGTGTTTCACAGAAGACCGAAAATGATTCTGTGTCTAATAAGTAAAGGATGATTAGCTGTTTATTTATGGCTCATTTACAAGCCAGAAGCATTTTGCAATTCCTTCCAAAGAATATTGATTTTTTGTTAGAACTGGCAAATCACTTTAGCAGGTTGGATCTTGAATGGTTTTTAAATTGTTAAGTGAAGTGAAGAAGTGAAGTGACATGTGGCCAAGTATGGTGACCCATACTAGGAATTAGTGCTCTGCATTTATCCCATCCAAAGTGCACACACACAGCAGTGAACACACACACACACCGTGAACACACACCCGGAGCAGTGGGCAGCCATTTATGCTGCGGCACCCGGGGAGCAGTTGGGGGTTCGGTGCCTTGCTCAAGGGCACCTCAGTCGTGGTATTGAAGGTGGAAGAGAGCGCTGTACACTCACTCCCCCACCTACAATCCCTGCCGGACCGGAGACTCGAACTCACAACCTTTGGGTTACAAGTCCGACTCTCTAACCATTAGGCCACGACTTCCCCAATGTGTTTAATGTGATGTGTGATTAACTTCTTCTGTCGTTTAACTTCTGGAACAGACACACCTCATGTTTCCTCAACACTTAATCACAGAGCATTTTATCTTCAAGTCCACTATTGTCTTTATTCCATTTTTACTTCCTGGTGTGTGTGTGTTGTGTGTGTGTGTTGTGTGTGTGTGTGTGTGTGTCTTTGCCAAGACTCAGTAGCCTGTAATAATAAAAACGCTCAAGCTATGGCAAACTGAACAAGAATAAAACTTTAATCAACAAACAATTCCAGTCAGATTTTTTCTGCTCCTGTTGGGAGTTGATTCAAAAACGCCCAGTATTTTAAGACTTCACAGTTGCATTCCAAAGCTAAGGCCGTTTCAAAAGGTTAAGAGCATCGTTATGGTGCCTTCTAATGCAACATATATATAGTTACGATTTTTTAAATGTTTTTTGAAAGAAGTCTTCTCACGAAGGCTGCATTTATTTGATAAAAATACAGTAAAACCAATAACATTGTGAAATATTATTACAATTTAAACTAACAATTTTCTATTTTAATATACAGTTTATTCCTTTGATGGCAGCTTAATTTTTGCTGCTTAATTTTTTTTATGGAAACCATCATTCAAAAGTCTGGGGTGCACAAAAACACAAAAATATTAAGCAGCAAAAACATTGATAATGAGAACCATTATTAATAACTGAGCACCAGTAATAATAATAAAAAAAGCTCCAAATCAGTATATTAGAATGATTTCTGAAAGAACATGTGAAACTGAAGACTGGAGTATTGATGCTGGAAATTCAGCTTTGCATCACAGGAATAAATTACATTTCAAAATATATAACAATAGGAAACAGTTATTTAAAATTGTAATAATATTTCAGTTTTTTACTGTATTATTGATCAAATAAATGCAGCCTTGGTGAGCATAAGAGACTCAAAAAATAAAAATAAATAATGATTCCATTTAGATTTTGGCCAAAAAGTTACCTCAGAATGCAGTATAAGTATGCTGCCTACTTATGCCTAGGGCTTTAATAGGGATCAGGTTTGATTTTAAGTAGGCAATCATGTTGACTTCATCATCATTTGTCTATATTAGGGTCCATCTACATCTACTCTCCTGGAATGGTGATTTTGGGCTCCAACTCGAGTGATAAAAAGGAAGAGGCAGGACTTTGCGAAGAAGGCGTTCCCCTCATCAGCAGACCGCAGCAAGAGTCAAATCCACCCTCGCAAGAGGTCAGAATCAGAATAAGCGCACAGGAAGAGGCTGAGGAGGAACTGAGCTTGAGTTTTCCTGTGCCGGCAACTGAAAAGTGAGAACTCGAACATGTGGTTTCTTGCATGAACTTCAGAATGGCGTTCAGGAAGATTCCAGGTTGAATCACAAGGCTGAAAAGTCACAAGATGCCAGATTTCAGATTCCTGGTAAAGCATGGCATCAGCAATGCCCAAGTCATGGTTTCAGTTCCAGATAAACATGCACGCTGACTAAATGTACAGGCTACCTTGATTGCACTGTATGTCAAATACCGAATGCACAGATGTACCAGATGGAAAACTCTGAGTAATGATTTTAGCTTTTTTGCGCATCAAGAAAAAGATTTATGCTTAATTTAAGTTAGTCAGTTTTTATAAATGCACATGTCTGAATTGCTGCTGCAGCAAAACTGGGACAAAAACAAGCATGAAGACTGTGCACAGGAGGTACAGACAAAAGAAGAAAAACACCCTCAAAGGTGTTAGGAGTTTTCATAACGTGTGTCCTATAAGATATAGGCAGTATAATTGAAACGCACATGGTGTGTATGAATTGTTTTATTGTTTAAGTGAGTGGTCGAGAACCTAACGACTACATCTATATGTTTCTAAACAGACTTTTGCTCTACCGTGTGGGTGTTTCATATGCATGTCTAAAAAATACCCAACCTCACCTTCGGAAAGAAGTGTCTGATTTGACTGTTGTAGGAGGTCGAGTCGGGACGGACTGCGTTGACCCTGCAACCTTTACAGAACATGATCAAAATGACATTTCTAGTGTTGCAGTAGAAGATGCTTCATACATCTCAGTCACATCCTCCATTCACTTGAGCTTGTGTCATTTTGCTTGTTTTTTTTGTTTTTTTGTAAATTTGTCAATGAATGTGTTCTGATGCTTTATTAACATGAATTCAATCAAATCCATTCCTTCAACAATTACAGAATCTCTCTCTCCCCCTCTATCTTTCTATCGTTCTATCTACCATTCTTTCAGTCATTCTGTCTATTGTTCTATCATTCTATTTACTATTCTTTCTATCAGTCGTTCTTTCTGTCATCCTGTCATTCTTTCTATCTATCGTTCTGTCATTCTTTCAATCATTCTGTCTAATCCAGTGGTTCTCAACCCGCGGCCCGTCACGAATTCAAATGCGGCCCACGTGCTGAACACAATTTTAAAAAATTACTTTGTTTTACAATTCATTTTGGTTTTTACATTAATTTAAAAATGTACTAAATAAATATAAGCTATAGCCTAATGTTTTATGTCAAATAATTTTGTTTTTCATATATTATTTTCAGACATGAGCAGTACTCACATAGTCTAATTAACGTTACGAATTTTAAAGTAACGACCAAGTGGCCAGCGGCAGACAGTGAGCATATGCTTGATCAATTTAGCCTTCTCAAATCATCACGACTTGCCTAAAATAAAATCTATAGATATAAAACAGTTCAAGCATATAACAATGTTTAAACGTTAAACCTAGATAAATGTGCGCTTGGACCATAGTGCGGCCCGGTGGAAAAAAAGGCTGAGAACCATTGGTCTAATCTATCATTCTATTTACTGTTCTTTCTATCATCCTGTCATTCTTTCTATCATTCTATCTATCATTCTATCTATCGTGCTGTCATTTGTTCAATCATTCTGTCTATTCTATCATTCTATTTACTGTTCTTTCTATCATTCTGTTCTTTCTATCGTTCTGTCTATTGTTCTATCATTCTATTTACTGTTCTTTGTATCATTCTGTTCTTTCTATCGTTCTGTCTATTGTTCTATCATTCTATTTACTGTTCTTTCAATAAATCGTTTTTTCTATCATCCTGTCATTCTATCATTCTGTCATTCTTTCTATCATTCTGTCTATTCTATCATTCTATTTACTGTTCTTTCTATCAATCGTTCTTCCTATCATCCTGTCGTTCTTTCTATCATTCTGTCATTCTTTCTATCGTTCTGTCATTCTTTCAATCATTCTGTCTATTCTATCATTCTATTTACTGTTCTTTGTATCATTCTGTTCTTTCTATCGTTCTGTCTATTGTTCTATCATTCTATTTACTGTTCTTTGTATCATTCTGTTCTTTCTATCGTTCTGTCTATTGTTCTATCATTCTATTTACTGTTCTTTCAATAAATCGTTCTTTCTATCATCCTGTCATTCTTTCTATCATCCTGTCTATCATCCTGTCATTCTTTCTATCATTCTGTCATTCTTTCTATCATTCTGTCTAATCTATCATTCTATTTACTGTTCTTTCTATCATTCTATCTTCATTCTGTCATTGTTTCTATCGTTCTGTCATTCTTTCAATCATTCTGTCTATTGTTCTATCAAGTCGTCACCTTTATTTGTATAGCGCTTTATACAATACTGATTGTGTCAAAGCAGCTTTAAAGTGTCACACAGGAAAACAGTTTGTCAATAATGCAAGAGGACAATAGAAAACAGTCAGTTTTTCAGTTAAAGTCAGTTCATTGTTGATTCAGTGATGTCATCAGCAATCAAGCCGACAATGTTGCCAGAAATTAAGTGTCCCCAACTAAACAAGCCAAAGGCGACAGTGGCAAGGAACCAAAACTCCATCGGTGACAAAAATGGAGAAAAAACTTTGGGAGAAACCAGGCTCAGTCGGGGGCAGCTCTCCTCTGGCCAGATGAAACCAGCATGGTGTGGTTTAATTCCAGGCTGCAACACAGGTCAGATTGTGCAGAGGACTCGTCTGGTTCCCGTGGACTTGTGCCGATGGCCGACGAGGTGATGAGGTCTGTCTCTAGAGCTCGTCTAGTTGACATGGTCTCCGCTGACATTCAGGGCTATAGAGGTCGTCTCTAGGACAGGTGCTGATGATCCACCATTTGATCTGGATATGGACTGTATCCGTGTGGCTACAGTGACCTCGGAATAAGAATGAAACAGACTAATATTAGCGTAGATGCCATTCTTCTTATGATGTAGCGAGTACATCGGGTTATGGGAACTGTTCCCGGTTCCGGTTGACCTAACAATCCTTTAATGGACTTTAATGATAGAAATGTGATAGTGTATTATGTGTATGCTAGGTTAAAGAGATGGAAACAACGCAGTTGATTTTGATATTCTAGGTATTATCAAATGGCCAGAGTTTTGAGATCTCAGCGGACGTGAAGGACTAATGCGATATGAGCTCGCTCAGGTATTGAGGAGCTAAACCATTCAGGGCTTTATAAGTAGTAATTATCAAGATTTTAAAATGTATGCAATGTTCAATAGGGAGCCAGTGCAGAGTTGACAGAACCGAGCTAATATGGTCATATTTCCTGGTTCTAGTAATGTTCTATCATTCTATTTATTGTTCTTTCTATCATTCTGTAGCTCTTTCTATCGTTCTATCTACCATTCTTTCTATATATCATTCTGTCATTCTTCCAATCATTCTATCTATTATTCTTTCTATCTGTCATTCTTTCAATCATTCTGTCATTCTATGTATCATTCTTTCTGTCTGTCCTTCTATCGTTTTTTTCTAGATCTATTATTCTATCTTCCGTTCTTTCTATCAAACATTCTATCTATAATTTTTTCTATCATTCTGTCATTCTTTCTATCATTCTATGTATCATTCTTTCTGTCTGTCCTTCTATCTATGTAATATTTCTTATCTATCTATCTATCTATCTATCTATCTATCTATCTATCTGTCTATCTATCTATCTATCTATCTATCTATCTCTGTCTGTTTGTCTAATACACACCTGTGTACCTGTATAGTAAGACAGAGCACTTAATGGATTTACAGTCATGGCCAAAAATATCGGCACACTTGGTAAATATGATCAAAGAAGGCTGTGAAAATTAATCTGCATTGTTAATCCTTTTGATCTTTTATTAAAAAAATTCACAAAAATCTAACCTTTCATTGGATAATAATAATGTAAAATGGTGTGAAATATCATTATTAAATAAATGTTTTTCTCAAATACACGTTGGACACAATTATTGGCACCCCTATAAATTCTTATGAGTAAAATATCTCTGAAGTATATTCCCATTCATATTCACAATTTTGCACTAATGCACGGAGAGAAGGAGAGGTTGAGTGGCTAAAGACTCTCCAAGGACCACAGCTGGAGAATTGCAGAAAATAGTTGAGTCTCGGGGTCAGAAAACCTTTTTAAAAATTGTCAAACAGCACCTATATCACCACATGTTGTTTGGGAGGGTTTCAAGAAAAATTCTCCTAGCTCATCCAAAAACAAACTCCAGCATATTCAGTTATCAGACACGACTGGAACTTCAAGTGGGACTGGCTTCTATGGTCAGATTAAACTAAAAAATTAGCTTTTTAAGCAAACACTCAAGATGGGTTTGGTGAACACAGGGATAAAAAGTACCCCATGTGTACCATATTTTTGGCCATGACTGTATATGTGTGTATGAAGCCCGTGGAATGCTTATATTTTTAATTTTTCTAATTTAATATGTAACATTTGAGTGACTGAACTGAAAATTTTACATCATTTTCACAAATATAGAAACCTCAATTATTTCTTCTTCATTTACCTCATAAGTGTTATTTTCCCTAAATCCTTATTCCCAGGTTTAAAGAGTTTTCGACTCCAAAGTACAGGAGGAGCTCATGTCGCTCACTTCAGAGGTCTGCTCTCAGTGCTCTGTGATTGTGTCAAACCCGCTGTCGCTTCCTGGTTGCAGGGGGGACTGCCGTGCAACATTTCCGGGACGCGGAGAGCGTGAGTGATGGTCAGTCGGAATTCAGTCGCGAGGGTCGTTGAAGGATAATGCTGATTCTCATCTCACGGTTATTATTTATGGCGGCGGTGTGGCGCGTGGCGGAGGGGAAGGTAACGAACAGGTTTATATGTGTTGCGGACAAACGCAATGTTATGATTCATTCTTATACTTACATGACTTTCACAAGTTTGTTTTGGTAAAGCTGAAAAGATTCTTCTGAAAAACACTAAACGAAAAACAAACGTTATTCTCGGATTCTAAATGTGAGTCGTAGAAATGAAAGATATATTTATTTTCACTTATGTTCTGTTCTTGCGCTGCTGGGATTTCCAGCAGAGGTTGCGTGCTTGGCTGGTGTCTCAAATCATAGCGAGCTGCCTGCTGTTATGCGTATCACGTGCATAGGCTACTTTAGGGCGCTTACTACCTAGACTGCATTATTGGACATATGCGAAACCTAGTGTGCTGCCTACGTAGACAACATTGTGGGTGTCACCGTCATAGTGACCTAATGAACTACATGTATTGACATCTTATATAGGCATTATAGACAACTTAAAACGTAGCGTGATGCATATTTATGGTTTTGGGCATCTTGGACAGCTACCTAAATCATATTTGTTGGGAATGATGGAAAATCTAGTGACCTGCCTTCCTATACAGCATATTTGGGATCATAAAGCATAAAGTAACTTCCTGCATAGACCGCATTTTTGAGTGTGCATCATAATTATTTCACAAATAATGTGCCCACACAGCATTTTTTTGGGCACAACATTGACAAAGTGAGTCACCTACCCAAACTGCGCTCTTGAGCATCATGGGTATCTTAAAAAAAATAGTGTGCTGACTTTAGAAAACATTTTGGGCATCTTGGGCATAAGCACCACTCTACTTAGATTCAGCAAGCTTGTGTGTTTTTTTTGAGAACGGTGGTCGACATGAAAATCCAAATGACCTGCCTACCTAGATGGCATGGGCATCATAAAACATAATATATGGCCTACATAGACAGCATTTCTGGTTGTCTTTGGCAAACCAAAACGAGCTGGGCATCATAAGAATCTCACAGCTAGTGTGCCTACACAGCATTTTTTAACACAATATAGGCAAATCAAGTGAACTGCTTGACCAAACTGCAATTTTTAGCATCATAAGTATCTTAAAACATGGTGTGCTGCCTAGTTAGACAGCATTGGGCATCTTGGGCATAAGCACCACTCTACATAGACTGTATTGTCATAATGGGCATATGCAAAACCCAGCAATCTGCCAATCTAGACGATATTTTTGGGAAAAACCGAATGACCTGCCACAGCATTTTGAGTGTCTTTGGCAAAACAAAGTGTGCAATGATCGGGCATGGGATTTTTTCTTAGTTTGAAGAACTTTTTTACACTTTAAAATTTTGTGGAACCTTTTGTGGAATGGAAAGATTCTGTGGATGTTCTTTATGGAACCTTTGATGCCAATAAATAACCTTTATTTTTATGTGTAGGTATCTTAAAACATAGTGTGCTGCCTATTTAGGCAACATTTTGGGCATCATGGGCATAGGCGAAGCCTATTCATCTACAGTACTTACATATATAGTATCATTTGATATAAGCGAGAGGAAAAACCCAATGAACCCTAAAGGTTTTATAAACCCGCAGTTTTAGCCATCATAACCTAGTGTGCAGCATCTCTGGGCATCACGCAAGTGCTGTCAAGAAAGGAAGGATCCAGTAATGTCAAGTCGTTTTTCTAGCTAGTTTTTCTTGTGGTCTAGATTGAGAAGGTGGGGAGTTCACGTATAATGCAGTTTAACTAGAACACATCTGCATACTTTACCACATATCAAGTGAGCATGTAAATGAAGTGTTGTTAAGCAGCCTTGTTTTCTGTGTTTCTGTCCGTTTAGTCAACTCTTTAAAAAGTTACACCTCAGGTTCCACTTGCTCTACTTGTTGTAATACCACTTACATGATCTATAAGTCATGGGGAAATAAACCTGCTGTGACTGAGAAATGTGCTGAAGCTCAGAACAAAGAGCATGCAGTTGCTTAAATAATAAAAAAGATTCATGTACAGATTACTGAATGATCTTGGTAGGCTGCATGCATTTTTAACAAGAAATACATGTGTGCTTTTGGCATTCACTGTGTAAATGTGTTTGGGCGTGTTGGTGTAATCTGCTCAGAGAAAGGCTTTTACTCTGGTTTGGTTGGCTGTAAAGATAAGCGCTCAGTCTCTGTTCTTCAGTAAAGCGCACTGTTGCATGGCGGAAGTCTGCTGGCCTGTATATGTGGGTCGTTTCCCAGTAACACACCTCAGCAATTTCCTCTTAACATCTTGAGCATTTGAGAAGACGTCAGTGGTTTTAGAGATGATGCAGTCATTTTTCGTAATGTCTAAGCTGTTCGATTATATCAGGATGTGCATTTCTTGCAGAAATTATTTTCATAAGCTGAAATTTTTATTTGAAGTCATCTTTAATGGTAGCCCTTTCATCTCAGACAGTTTCTTCTAGTCAATTATAAATGAGTCATTTGTAAGAACCCACCATATAAAGTGAGTGTGTCTTTCGATTACGACAACTCTTAAATCATTCTGTGCATTTTGGTCTGTGGCGGAAAGCGCAATTCTCCAGCAACTTCCTTTTTAGAATCAGAGATCAGTAATAGTGCTGATACGGATTGAACAATCTACGAGGGATTATGCTGAATCCATCTTTAACCATTTGAGGGTTCGCACTGGGAGTCATGGGAAATACTAAACTTTTGAATGTCAAATGCGATTTGTAGTGATTTAATGTTAAATTTGACTGCATCAAAACACTTGTTTCCATGGGAACTCACTGCAAATAAACATTTACTCTTGACTGCTGCAAGAAATATAATAATATAATTTTCTTTAAACATAATAAAATTCGTTTTTTTTTTTTTTTTAACATAGATTCTGAGGTAAATGTGACCTGGATAGGTTTTGTAAGATTCACTTTAGTGGATATCAAACAGTCTAAAAAAAAATATATATATAAAAATTCTAGACACTATTTCAAATATATGGAAGCAATTTGTGACTTTTTATCTCACAATTCTGACTTTTTCTTGCAATTGTTTCTCAGAATTGTGATATAAACTCAAAATTCTGACTTTATAACAGAAAGTTCTGACTTTGTAACTTTATAGTCTGTTAATTAAGAGATGTAAACTTGCAATTCCGATGAAAAAAGTCACAACTACCTTTCTTTTATTTTTTATTCCTTCCACACAAATATGCTGTTCATATCATTTAATATCATAAATGACCTCTTGGCAAATTTGATCTGTGGCAAGTTCTGCAAACAGATAAACAAATTCAAGCTGGACTTTTAGAGCAGTCAAAAAGTTCCCAACATTTTGCAAAAGTCCCTTTGCTTTTCCTCTGAAGAGCTTTTCTGGTTTCCCGATCCGAGTTTCCCAGTCATTATTATTTCTCCCTCACTAATTTGCACGTTATTATTTAGCTAGTTAACAGTCATTTCCTTCTGATTTCACTTCTGCTTTTGATCTCCTCCGCTCCGCCCTCCTCCCCTTCTGTCAGTGTTGATCATGTTTACATTCATTTGGAGTTCTGCATGGACACTTACCGCACATGGACACCGCAGAGTCTCTGTATGCATGCAAATCTGTCAGGATAGACTCAGTATAGTGGTCAGAAGGTCATTAGAGGTCAAAAATATCAGTCTTTTATCTTTGCCACTCTCCATTGCCCTTGGCCCATTTTGGCTATTCGTATCAGTTCACATCAGTTTCCACTGCAGAAATACCATGCGTGTGGTCCACCTCTTCACTGCGTAGGTTAAAGGACAGTCAAATATGATGTCAGTTACTCTTCATTCTGTCATTTCCGAATAACTACTGACCAGCTTGACAATGTGATAATGCAAATTTGCATTAAAGGGGTCATATGATGCTGCTAAAAAGAACATTATTTTGTGTATTTGGTGTAATGAAATGTGTTTATGCGGTTTAAAGTAAAAAAAAACACATTATTTTCCACATCACCAAGAGTTTGTAACACTCCAAAGAGAAAGGAAAAATTGAAATCGCATCATATGACCCCTTTAACATTTTTCAGATGAGTAAATATTGTGCCAACATAAGTGTTTTATATCAGGAAAACTCTGTATGTCCCATTTCCCTATATTTACATCAGTAACAGCATGGAAAAACCCAAATGGTATCGCAGATCTGAATGTGTCAAATTAGTGGCGATTCCTGTTTGTAGTGATCAGGATGGCTGTTGACTGATATTATGCTAAGATTTATATAACAATTACATTTTTTCAGATATTATTTTACAAAAGCTTATTTTTCAAAATTGTTGTTGAAAAAAAAAAACGATGCACAGAAATGAGTAGCTTCTTGCTGACACGAAAGGGAATGTTTCTGTTAAACTGCCAAATGACTAAATATCATCCAAGTCTGTCACTTGTTACTGAGCTTCTTTGTTGTAGCTGACAAGTGCAGATCTGAAACTATCACATCAGCGTTTTCAGTACAAATTGATATTTGTGCTTGCTTTGTCTGTTTTTGACATATTTCATGTCGGTGAACCTTGTGCAAACGCCTGCGCTAAATACCCTTGTAGCAGCATTAGCATCCCTGAGAAAAGATTTAAAGAGAAGACATATATTGTGACTATGAGGAACTGGTGGGTAGTGTTTCGTTCACAAGACAAGTATCTGTTCCTGAGAATCCAAGGAAAGTGTCACTGATATTTTGGGCTTTTTCCTCTTTGTTTTCACAGACACCTCCGCCATATAGATCATCTGGACCATGTAATACAGCCTTTGAATATTACGCCAAAAACCTGGGATTGTGCTGCAGTAGATGCAAACCAGGTATGTCATAAACCAAGGGGAGCGTGGGAGAGAATGTAAACATTTGTGTTCATAAACTCATTACTTGTTGGTTTACGAGGCCAAACTATCACTGTTTTTGTGATGTTTAGAAGCAACTCCAAGTTCTGAATCGTTTATATTTATTCTAGGGACTCATCTGGCAGTTATGTGCACTAGTAATTCGGACACCATCTGTGAACCCTGCCAAGATGGACAGTACTCTGAAAACATGAACCATTTTTCCAACTGTTTCTCTTGTCCAAAGTGTAAAGATGGTAAGTTGGCTATTTTAATGAAGCACTCCGCAATGACAAAGTCTTGTTTCAGTATTAATCTGGAATTTGTATATGTCTTAAAGAAATTAAATTCGGGCATAATTTACTTACCCTCTTGCCCTTACAAGCCCTTATGAGTTTCATTCTTCGATAAACCACAAAATGAGAAGTTTAGCACACTTTTCTGTTCAATGAAAGTGAATGGTGACCAGAGGCTACAAAAAAAAAAAAAATATATATATATATATATATATTCACTATATGACTTGCACTATATTTCAAGTATAATCTGTAGTCTTCTGTTCAAACCTCATTTGTGCAATCTGAATATGAACATGTAGAGGAGAAAAGGGTTAAATTTCTGACTGTTCCTCACACAAAGCTACAGTATGTCTTCCGAGTAAATGATGACAGAATTTGCATTTTTGCATAAAATATTCCATTTAGAAAATTCAATCCAAATTGTATTATAAAATATAAATGTACAGATTAAACATAAACATGCTGATTTGTTTTACCATGTAGTTTTATATCACAGTCTCTTATGAATTTACAGTAACAGTTTACAATAACATCCCATTAGTTAATGTTAGTTAATGCATTAACAATGAGCAATACATTTGTTACAGTTTTTATTAATCTTTGTTAGTTTATAAAAATACAACTGTTCATTATTAGTTTAGTTTAGGTCCATTTAATAATATATTATGTTGAAATTAACATGAACTAAGATTAATAAATGCTTTAGAAGTATTTTCATTCTTAGTTCATGTTAACAAATGGAACCTTGTAGTAAAGTGTTACCAGATTTACTTGTATTATTATAATATTGCATTTTTTCCATTGAATTTTTAAAAGACTTAACATGTTGCTGTCCATTTCTTCTTGTTAGTGAAAGGACTGATGTATGGCACAAATTGCTCTACTGATACCAAAGCTGTTTGTGTTTGCAAGCCCGGGATGTTATGTTCTAAGCGTAATTTCAATAAAGAATGTGAGGAATGTAGAAAATATAGATCCTGCAAACCTGGTGAATATGTCATGAAAGAAGGTAAGAGGCAAAATAATCTAGCTACTGTACACAAACACTTAGAAGTGTGTGGTCAGAATTGGAGTTGTGTAGCTTTTAGCCTATGCCTGTTAGCTTTAAACGCATCTAAACAAGTAAAAGTTGACGAAATTCAAACGACGAAAGTCTCTTCTTCTGGGAAAAAAATATTGATGACTCATTGGATTTTGTCCAATAAAATGCTCTCTAGTATTCAAATGCCCCTCCCCTTAATATCTACACTCACTAAAACCACAAATGTGACCCTGGACCACAAAACCAGTCTTAAGTCGCTTGGGTATATTTTTAGCAATAGCCAAAAAATTCATGCCAATGAATTTTCTTTCATGCCAAAAATCATTAGGATATTAAAGATCATGTTCCATGAAGATATTTTGTAAATTTCTTACCGTAAATATATCAAAACTTAATTTTTGATTAGTAATATGCATTGCTAAGAACTTCATTTGGACAACTTTAAAGGCGATTTTCTCAATATTTAGATTTTTTTGCACAAATATTGTCCTATCACAAAAAAAATCTTTATTCAGCTTTCAGATGATGTATAAATCTCAATTTCAAAACATTTACCCTTATGACTGGTTTTGTGGTCCAGGGTCACAAATAGGAAATGATTTCCTAATTATTGGCTATTTAAAAATATATCTCTGTGCCCCAAACTTGCATTTTCATTGGGAAATACATCAATTTATCCAGTCAAATACATCAATACATCAAGTCATTTGATGCATTATTTGAACATTTGTTTTAATAGGCCAGTTATACATGCTATCATCATTGTGGTGTGTTTGTGAATGCAGGATCAATTTCATCTGATGTCAAGTGTATGCCGTGTCCGTCTGGAATGTTTTCAAACCACAGTAATACTGAGCGGTGTAATCCACACACACAGTAAGATGCAAATGGAAAGAAAGACTCATTACTTACAAATACACACACATGCATATGGCTTATTTGTCTTTTTCTCTGTTAGATGTGAAGGCAGGTCAGTTTTAAGATCCGGCAACTCTACAGTTGACACACTGTGTGAGATGATGCCACCATCAACAGCAACAACAACAAAGGCTCCTCTTCAGAGTTCACCCAAGCCTACTCGCCCCAAAGAACCGAGTAATTTTAGGGGCCAAACGCAGGAAATGCAGCGCATGAACACCTCCACCACCTCATCTCTAGCTCCATCGAGTAGAGCGACATCAAGCACACCAGTGGGTCAAGATGACATGATCTACTTCACTGGTAAATATGAGGCCATGCTACTAGAATTTAGTTTACAACCCATATAGAAGTACCAAGGTGTTACCATGGAAACCATGCAAAGATGTTTGAATCAACCAATCAGAATAAAGTATTACAAAGTGCCAACTTTAATAGAGTGCAACAGTGTCCGCCCACTTTTTCAACAGCTTTGATTTCAGAAGTATTTTTCCCAAAAGGATTTTTAAAAAGTGTTTTTTAAACAGTTATATGCAATAAAACAAACCAACCAGCTATGCAATGAATCACAATATTACAAACTTTAATTTGAAGCAAAAAAAAAGACAATAATTGTGTACTTAATGTTTTTAATAAGGGGAAAAAATACAATCCGATGAAGCATTATGAATTACATAATCTCATTAAAACTGATAGATAAATATAAAACAGTTGTTGAAACAATATATTTTGTGTTTATTGCAAAATATGCATAACAACTATTTAAGTTGTTTGAGAGTGTAGTATGATTGACTCTATACCAGCTTACAGAGAACATTCTCAGAAGATTCTGGTAAGGTTCTCTTGAAGTTCTGAATAAATGCTCTTGCTGTAACATTATTAGAATGTTCGTTCAAAGTTATCCGGTCTTTAATAATGTTCTAAAAACACTCAAAAACCTTTATATGTTATTTAAAAATTTGGACATTTGTTTAACGTTTTTTAAACGTTACTATTCGTTTCAGAATGTTCAGAGAACATTCAAAGTAACATTACCATAATGTTTGTAAAATGATAAAATGGAATGTTCATATTTGACCAAGAAAAACATTTTTAAAATGTTTAAAAAACTGGACATTTAGAGAACATTCAGAAATGATGTTTTCATAACTCACTGGGAACGTTAGCGAAATGTTCTTAGAGCATATTTTTGTTAGCTGGATTTATATCATTCGCAATGCTTCATGGGAGTGGATGGGAGCTAAAGAGTTTTTTGGTGCGAATTTGCTTGTTGCAGTTCCCCAGTTGGTTGAAATTTCTCTGCAAAATCATGAGTAATGTAGGTTTTCACGAGTTCTGCTGTTAAACATGATTATTTAAAGAATAAGCTGAAATAACGCGGGCCGATGGCTTCAACAAAAGCATATACCATTGTAGCTTACAGCAGGTCTGTTTTCAAGGATTTGCAAGTTATTGTTAAAGGGGTCATATGATGTTGCTAAAAATAACATTATTTTGTGTATTTGGTGTAATGAAATGTCTTTATGCGGTTTAAGGTTAAAAAAACACATTATTTTCCACATACTGTACATTATTGTTTCTCCTCTATGCCCCGCCTTTCTGAAACGCGTCGATTTTTACAAAGCTCATCGTTCTGAAAAGCGAGGTGTGCTCTGATTGGCCAGCTATCCAGTGCGTTGTGAT